AATTTTATGGGGGAGAATTGCAAATAGGGAAGGGAGAGAGAAACAGGGTTATTAATCAGCAGAGACGGGGTTCTTGATAAATACGTACTGTTTACCCTACGTAGTGAAAAGATACGTAACAGATGCTGAATTCTTTAGTGATTCTTTGGCAGTGTAGCATGCTTGATATCAACAGGAGTATGAACAATGTAAGTGATGTAGTATGTAGGAAAGGCTACTCTTTAAGAACCAAGTAGGAAAGGATATTTCTTGTTGCCTTGCCTACCGAGTCATTACTGTGAACATTACAGGCAGACTGCAGATAAAAGATAATACTGTCTGAATGGACTGACATTAGCAATTATTGTCTATATTTTGCTCTTTGTTTTTCCTCCTTCATAATCTCTGCTCAAAATATGATTGCAATTGCTTTCCTGGTGTAAGTTTTTGTAGGACAAATCTACTGTGCTGTGCATCCTCAATTGCATCTTAAGTTCTTGATCAGAAATACAGAGATATAAACTTCTATTGGAGACGTTATTTTAAGAACAATATCTTTTTGTCACCTGGGACTCTTAAATGGTAGCCAGTGAATATTTACCACTGGCAGCCCAGTGCAGGAATCGTTTAACTTATCTAGGCAGCAGATCTAAATGCTGATCTTCTTGTGATTAACATAAATGAAGGCTTTCAGTGCTATGAGAATTTTGCAGGCTGAGATTTTCCTGTTTTCATAGTTCTATCAGTGCCTCCTTGCATGTCAGATAAATCCAGAAGCCCCAAACCAGGAACCTGAATTTTTGCTTTCACTTAGAATTTGTCTAATATTGACATGAAATTGTTTGTGCAATGGAAATCACATGGTAACAGACATCACTTCTCTGATAGATGGATTTGTCGTATTTGATGACGTTCAATTAGGAACCGATTTGGCAAAAACTCTTTACACTGCATAAGGAGTCGTATAAAATATTACAGTCAGCAGAAATCCATAGCAAATGCCTTTAATGACTGTTCTATATGAAAAGCTATGAACTTACATATCACATATAGCAATACCTCAAATCTTCATCACTGGGTGTATGAGTTGTGTGTTAATAATGCCCTCAGTAACTATGTGTGACGCACACCGTTATCAGAATGCAAAAGATTTTCAATCTTCTTTGTCACTTCACTTATTTGAATATTTTATCTGGAAGTTGGTGATTGAAATCAGCTGGTGTTTGTGTTCAGAATGAAGCTGTATTGCACCTTGCATCTTATCTGTGCTTGAGCTAAACAGCCTCTGCAGACACATTCCTTTTTTTTTTTTTTTTTTTTTTCCTCCAGTAGCAAATTCTGATGACCTGGCAGTAGCAAAGAACCAAAATCTTTCTTAGATTCTGCAGATCCAATGGCTGCATGTCATAGTTGGCCATACCTTACTTTGTCTTCATCTACCTTTCCAGCTTCTCCTTGATATTTCAGGTGAATTTTACTTTTGGAATCTGCAGGATGCTGGCAGCTTGTGCAAGAGGGAAGGAAACTGGAATTCCTGATCTCCATTGGGCTCATCATGGCATCTTGGGCCCCTGACAGTCCTGAATTCCTTGGTAGAATATGTCACACTAGTGGTACTAACAGCATGAACAGCTGTTTGCAGTTAATTTGTGTGTTCCAGACTGAACATGACCACCTTGCTTTTGCCCTCCTTGTGAAATGGCCCGTTCTCAATGCTATGAATAGAGAGTGTTTAAAGCAGCAGTGGGAGGATGTAATGTGGTAATTATTGTGATGGAGGGCAAGAATCTGTTAAAAAAGGCAGAATTGTGGTTGCAGTGCACAGGCCTTTAGGGCACAGTAGTTACAGTAATGGTAAGATGTGAGACTCTGGGGAAGAAGCAGAGAATAGGTACTGACAGTTAGATTTGCTTCTCTCAGCTTTTATGTATTTGTCTGAAGTTTTACTAACAATCACTGTTTTCTTTGCTTTATTTTAAGGCTTTTTTAAAAATCCTGCAGTGCTTTGGTTGAGTGGTAGATGGAAGTGCTCGGTGGAAAAGGATGTGTTAGTTGCACAAGAGGCTTTTTGTACACAGAGTTGTATACAGGGAGGCTTATGATTCAGCAGAAACACAGAATGCAGTCCACTCACCTGTGTCTTATGTAGTCTGTGTTAGAGCACTGGTTCATTCTGTGGTATTCCTCTTCCTATGAACTTGTTCCTCACCTACGTGTTTGGCTTCTGACATGACCAAATCAGCACCTGCCAGTTCTGGCCCTGCTCTCCTTTTGAAATGTTTAGCTATTCAGATTGGCTCCCATTCCCATATCTTGTGTACACTTGGACTCCAGCAGTCACTTCATATGGGATCTCCAGGAAACATTTAGCAGCAACTGCTGCTCTTTTCACAAAGGACCCAGCAATTCCATCATTCCATCCTCAAAATAGTCCTAGACTTACTTCTAGTTTGCTGTGAGATCTGACAAGCATACTTGCCTTACAGCTTTGTTTTCTTCTGAAAGAACAGACCAATAAAGCACAGAAAAACTCTTCTTCAAATGATTTTCTCATTCATATAATTCAAATAAGTGAGGGACTTTCAGGCTAGAGGAACTCACAAGATGATAAAAACACCATGCTTTTGGTTGCATCTTCACAAACCTGTACATTTTCTGCTCTTTGCTGCCCTGTAGGGCAATCTTCGTGTACCATATGCTGCTATGTTTGTGCAGTGACAGCCAGCAGAACCATAACTGCATGAGCTGACCAAGAAGTGTGCAGCGGGTGACTCTGCTCTTCCAGTGTGAGAAATAGCCACCGGTACTGGTAATCAGTAAATAAAAGTAAATTATGAATTGGCCACAGATGCAACACACATACTATTGTAGTAACTTCTGCAAACTCACATGTCACTCTTTTTGCTTTTAAATGCATTGCTTTATCATACCAATGAGAACACTGTGTAATACGACATCTTTGAAAAGATAGCTGCATAGATGCACCTGGGTGACCTATCTCATTCCGTTTATTAGTTTGTCATAATGTCATCTTTTGTTCATTGCCTAACTATGCTAACTTTTTCTCTATGTCTTAATTGTTCATTGCAAACATTTTTTTCCCAAACTGGTAGTGCTTCTTGTTGAACCTCTCTGAACCTATTGTATTTCTACTTAATGGTTTTTTTTTTTTCCTCTGAAATAATTGACCATGAAGGAATCCGGTATCAAAATTAGGAATAATGGCAGCTTTAGTCTTATTTTTCTCTTATACAGCTTAATGGCTGTCACTGGTGATAGGATAGTATCTTCACTATTCATGTTTTCTCCAGCAGAAACAGGTAAGAGAAAAGGAAGAAAGTAATAACAGAGGAATAATTTTGATGGAGGCAATATTCTTTCTCACCTTGCTATTTTTTTAGCTAGTAGTGACACACTTGTCTGTTGTTTCCCATCTATGATATTAATATCATGATATTTATCTATGAAATAACTATGATATTTACTAATATCGTAGTAGCTAATTATGTCTCTACTCACATGTAGCTGGGGACCATGAAGTCTAACACTTAGGCTATGTGATATTTTATGTCACAGATGGTCATTCAGGTGAAGAAAAACTTCTTGCTGTGACCATGCTTAGCTGCTGTATGTGTAATTCCTTTGGGTTTATAACTCATTCCATCACCTGTATGAATTCTAAGTGAACCCACTTCTGAGATTTAGGAGATGGGAGAAAGAAAATGTGGATTAGCTTGAGTCTTGTTGACAGTCTTGCTATCTCCTATAGCCCTCCTTCTTCACCCAAAACTCTCTGCATCTCCAAAACTATTTCTGCTCAGTGTCTGTTAAGGGCAGCCCAATGATCTCCTGTGCAAGGGATGCCGAGGTCTCAACTCCCACTGGCTGCTGCCTGATGGATTTTTGAACAGCAAATCAAATGAATTATTGAGAAACAATTGTGATGTGCCCCAAATAAGAGCATTTTATCTTCCTATAAATATGACTTCAACATTTATAGTTTTGGAAGTCTAATTTAAAAATAATTCAGTGCTTTTCTGTTTAATTCTCTTGTGCTGTTGATCTGGGAGACTTCAAAGCTACAGCAAAAATAAGGTAATAAAAGCAGACAATGGCTATAGTTATGTATTGCGTATCATAAATATTTGTCTCTGACTGGTTGCATTTTAGCTGGCTGAGGAAATGTAGCTCACTGAAGGTGGTTACCTTTGTTTGAAGCCAACTGAGACAGCACCAGCACTCAGTAATTATAGCTGTACAGTTTCCAGGAGACTCCTTCTTCACCAGACCTGTCGTCTCGTGTCCCCATTTGTAACACTGTTCATTATAACCAACCTGCTGCCGTCACTCTGGAGCTTTCAAAAGGTATTCTGTGGGCTATCATGCTGCAGGATGTGGATAATGAAATAGTTAGACGTGACTTGTATTATAATAGTCTCACCTAACTTTCATTTGGCTTGAAAAGTAGACTTAAGAGTGAAAGGTATTTTATGTTTTTAATAAGGAGTCTCATATGGTATTACCTGCTGTTTTTCATTGTGTGCCTCTTCTCATGGTTTCCTTTTGAGGCACCTGATAGAAGAAGAGAAGTGAACATCTCTTAATCTTAGAGCTTTTTGAAAAACTGCAGCGGTAATCAACATTACTGATCAGTAATTTCCAACTGCAGTGAGAGTGACTGAAAGTTTTTACATCTGTATTTTAGCTCTTAAAGAGATAATAGTTTGTTTCTTGGTGAAAATAGTCCTTTCCGCACACACACGCACAAAACCCTTAAAAAAAATCTATAAATCCCCAAACAAATAATATCTTTAATAATATATTAGTGTATTTATTTACAATATGTGTTTACAACCTTGGAAAAATTAATCTATGTTTGCAGTGTCTTAAGTTAGGCTGTGAAGGCTGCAGTGGAAATGCTAAGTCAGGGCTTGAACCAGTGATTGAGCACTGGTGGGAAGGCAGGGCCAACCCAGGGGAGCTCAAATGCCTCTGAGTGACTAGAAGGGGTGGAGCCAGAATCCACCCTTTCCCAGACTTCATTTCAGGGTTAGCTACGGAGGTGAGGGGATCTTGCTGGTAGTCCCTACATACTTGAGGCCTTCCAAAGGTAAGCAGCTTTTTCCCTTTGTTTCTGTGCTCGTGACTATTGTGTTTTGCAAATCCTCACTTGCCACAGTCTAGCACTTTGCTGCTCTGCTGTCATTGCTGCATGTTACAAAGGTGTTGAAGGAATTTGTGCTGTCCTGTGCTCCTTGTAAAGCTTCAGAAATTCTTACAAATGTAATGAATGGAGAAAGTATCAAATTACTTTGATAGAGGTCATCCTTAACATAGCTCCAGTCACATCCTTCCTGCTGCAGACCCAGATTGGCACAGGGCTGAGGGTAGGATAAATTGAGAGTGAGGTTGAGCAGTGGAAATAATCTCCATAGGAAATTGAAAATATAAATATGATTTCTGAAGTTGTGTTAATAACTGTACCAGATCAGTTACAGGGAAGAAAACTCTGTTCCCCCAAATGGGCAACTGCACCGTCAGTGGAAGAAAAGTGGTAAACGCAGATACAATTTATGTGATTGGCTGAAATGTGAGCTGGCAGAAAAAAAACCCATCTCTCTCTGGGAAAGTTGGACGTGCCAATGGAGCAAAGCATGTTGAGGAGTGAGCAGCTGGCTGCCTTCCTCCTTGATTAAGGACATCTGCACTTTGATGTGTTCTGCTGCCAACTTGTTTTGAGTGGAAAACCAGGGATACCGCACCAAAAATGCTACTTTTCATGGCATTATTTGGTAATGGTCCTATTTCTTGTAAGCTTTAAACTTTTATTTTTTGCGCTGTCTTCTTCTTAGCATTGCCCTAAGCATTGCCTGAAAGCTGAAAGTGATGGAGCACTCTAATGCTCAAAATATGAATTGATCTGAGTAGAAGGTAGCATTACTTCACCACTAGCTTGTTTTGACAGTTCTTGGTGGACTGGTTCAAGTGCTCATGTCAATATTTTGTTATGTAAATTCTCTTCAGCTCTGCAGAAAGTATTCAGGTGATGGCTGGATTTCAAGTTTGTTTACTTGATATGGGAAAGACACATGTATGGGAGAAAAGCATACGCCTGACTATGAAAATATCTTCATGTTTCTCTGTTTATAAATAACCAGGGAAGGAACTGGAGACATCCGAATGGTGATGGCTTCAGATAAGAGGAAGCCAAAATTATTTAATGAAAGAAATAGTCTACTTATTCGTAGAAACTGAGTGGAGTCCAGTCATTCCTCAACAGCCTTTTAATCACTACTTCTGCCTCAGTGTCTCATTCTAAACTTTGCTATTGGTGCAGTTGCAGCAGATAATGGTTTGTTTTCAATTCCTTTAGCCTGGCAGTACCTATGCAGTATGAAAGGGACCACTGCCTCACTATATTAAACAATTCAACAAAGTATCCTTAACTACAGGAGATTGAGTAAGCTGTAATGTACACTGTGACTAGTGGATGTTACAATATACTTTTTCTGGACCTGAAAATATTCCTATTGAATGTTGTTTTAAGAAAGGTGTCTGCAGTGGGACATAATCAATCCATTCAAGTCAGTGATGAAAATGTTTGAATTCAGTAAGACCAAGGTTCAACCCATAGCTTACAAATCAGATAAACAGCTGTGAAATGATTAGATCATTTACAAGCTACTCTCCAGCATGGTGCTAAAACTTTATGTGACTTAGGCCAACTTGGTAAAGCTGTTACATTAGAGCTGTGATTGGCTGTCCTGAGCTTCACAGCTGTAAGTACTGATGGACCTCTCCTCTGGTGGTGTTCAGTACCTCTTCAGTGTTTTTGCCTGTGTTGAAAAGGCAGGAGTGGTATTAGTCTAAAACCTTGGTCTGTGGGGAAATGACTTGCTGCTCCCTACTCTGTGTAGGAAGACCTCTGGACACTGACATGGATATACTTCACTTTATGTATGGATTTCTCTGAGGTCTGAGATACTTATGGAAGAAATGTTCCTTGGAAATGTCAGTCAGAACTTTTCATTTTAATAACATGCCTGGTTGAATTCAAAACTGGCATTTTATATTGACACTGCGCATGAACTGACATGTCATTATACACATGCTAACTGAGATTTATAAAATAATAAAATCACTGTGGTTTAAATTTCCACAAAATATTGATGGAAAAGGTGTTATACACTTATGGGAGTAGCTTACTTGCTAATGTGCTTGCCATTTTTTACTGACCTTATTGTGAATGCAACCTTGCTGCAGGCTCCTGCAAATTGGAACTCTGCTACAGTATTTCTGTTCAGTTAATACCTGCAGAACCACATACTTACAGTAAGAGCACTCTCTTCTTCCTCCCTCACTTCTGGAATACATTAGCCTAATAACCAAAATGACAGTCTGGAATAATACATCTTTATTTATTGATGTATTTCTTGGTTCTGTTCTATGATAAGAGGCATAGTGACTTCATTCAGGCAGTGTACGACATTGACAATTTCTTCCCACCTCGTTGTTCATCTACCTGAAAGAAAAACAGCTTGAATCAAGAAAGAGTTTTCCTTTATTTGTTAAGTTAAAATATAGCTATGTTAAGGGAATGTGAAGGTTCCTGAGGGACAATCTAGAGGAGGACAAAATTCCAGGATTAATGTAATAATGATTCAGGAGCTTCATGCTCCTGATTCTACCTTCTGTTAAAATTTACTTACTATTTCAGGTACACAGCCTAATAATGCTGGTAATGCTATTTCAGTTTGAAATGCTCAAGTGTAAGAAAAGTTAGTTCTCTCAGGGGAAACTGAAGACAGAAGTCTGATTTTTGTATCTACTAAGTAGGAGGGGATGGAATGATTGAAGGAAGATGCCAAGGATGTACTCATTTGGGAAAAAGTTTTCCTTTGTTTAATTTCTGAAACGTAAGAACCAAAAATGGGAATGAGATCACTTCATAACAGCTGAAAAGCATTGTAAAGTGACTAAAAATTGGAGGAGCATTTCAACAGCTGTTTGGTATTATTGTTCAACTGGAAAAGAAAGAAACAAAAAGGCTGACCTTTACCTGAGGTCTTCTAGTGTGTGTTGTTCTTCAGGTGTTCGTTTGACAACGGTATCTGGTGATCCTAGGCTGAGGATATCTGATAGGGTTGAATTACATTTTTGTAGTTGTGGCAAGAATAAGTTACATGGTTTATTCTTTTTTAATCAGTTCACTGAAAACTATCATTCTGAAACTGTATCGGTGACTGGGTATCAAAATCTTGATAATGCACTTAAATAGAAGACCGTGTTTTTAGAGGAAAGTGGACGCTCACAAAATATAACTAAGGACTTTGTGCTGATTCTTCTGCCTCTATTGAACTGTAGTGGTTTGTCCTGCAGATGGTTTCTTTTGTTTTGAATACAGACAACATGAAGGCTGAGAGTTGTGTATATCTCTGTGAACACTTATTTTTAAAAAGAGAGAAATGGTGATGTCTGCAAAAGTAACTTGTAATTTTCTTCTGAATTTTCAGGCTTTGTGTAATTTCTGCGTAAGGAATTTCTACTTGTGTTTCAGTAGAGCAAGGTGAGATGGTAGCTGCAGAAATGATCTAAAAAATTTTTTGTAGAGGTAATTAATTGGCTATTTATGTGGAAGCAACAACTCCAAGAAATATGCCTCTGAAACTGGTAAAGTCAAGTTGCCCTCAACTGATTGTGTTGAACTGAGGGCTGTGAAAAAATACGGATGAGCCAGTCAAAGCCATCCTGGGCAGCAAGTGTCAGGGTCATTAAAGGCATCCTTCAGATACAGTAATGAATTAACTTTCTAAGATAGTAGAGACAGAAAGTGAGAAAGGAACTGAAACTGTGACACTTGTCTTTGAATTTGAAAAGCACACAGAAATTGAGGGAGAGCAGTACTGAGGTGTTAAGGGAGGCACAGGGAGCTTGTAATGATCTTGTCGCTTGTATTCCACGGTAATGTGCAGTTCTTCCCTTCCTGCAGAGATTTCTATTGAAATTACCTATATCTATTCTCTTCTAATAAACCTGCTTGTAATTAGTTGAACCCGAATCGGTTTCTGAGATTTTTTTTTTTTGTAAAGAATAACAGAACTAGCTGTTATCAAGAAAAATGAATCTCATACAACTGCAGAGAGGCTGAACTGGAATAAAAGTAGTATTTTGAGGTTTTTTAAGAAAGAATATAGGATGTTTCATTTAACTTTGAAGAAACGGGGGAAAACAACTTGGTGGTTTTCTGTGCTGATGAATAGAAACACTGCAGGTTGTATGAAACAGTGGTTTGTTTCTATTAGAATAGAAAAAGTATGTTGGTGGGTTAGTGATGTGTACTGAGCTTGGAAGCATTAGAATACACCATGGTTTAAAAGTTAAAGTTATTTTGGTTCAATAAGTTGCTTATTAGTAGCTTTGAAACGAAATAATGATGCTTTAGATGCAAACGTTATGCATTTTGAGGACGTAACTTGTAAAATAGTTCAATAGTTTTCACATGATTAACTACTTTGAGCTTGAAACCTAATAGATATTTTCTCCTTCCCTTTTAGAAATGTCAGAGGGGGACGTATTATGAACATTAAAGGAAATAACAAGACAGACTGTGTTCCTCTAATTCTTTCCAGAATTATGTACAATTTTACTAATGTTATTGTTCTCCACTTGCCTGCCCCCTCTTTTTATAGTTGTACATGGATTAGTGTGCTAAAATGGAAATGTAATTTAGGGTTAAGCAAGCTATTTCCATGGAAATAAAAATATTGGTGATGTCTTTTTGTTTGGGGAGTGTTCTAGAAAACACAATCTATCAGCTTATCTATCAGAAAAATCATGATTCTATCTAGAAAATCACAACCTATCAGTTTAGACACAGACCAGAAATAATGATGATATTTGCAAAGGAATGCTGTGCATAGAGGAACCTTTGTATTGGGATTTTCAGGACTGTAAATAAACAGCTGCTGTTCATATGCGTGTGTATATATGTACACACAGATACGAATGTCCCAGCATTTAGAACTTTTTGTTACCATTTCAGTTTTCCTTTTAAGATAGTAGATGTTCATCAAACCTAAGCATATCTGTGGGCAACTTTCAGTCTGCGAG